TCCCAATCTCTCCACAACCTCGCCATTATTTGTTATTTTCTGTCTTGTTGAACATGTATGATGTTCTTAATGTCATCCCACAATTCATCTAGTTTTCAGTCACTGGTTTTCAATGCATCAAATCTATTCTTTAGATGGTATAAAATTTAGGAGGGATATAGTCAAGGTCACATTTTGGCTCTGTGGACTTGTTTTAATTATCCTCAACTTCAAGTTGAACTTGTATATGAGCAGTTGGTGGTCTGTTTCACAATCAGCTCCTGCACTTGTTTTGGCTGAAGATACTGAACTTCTCCATAGCTTCTTTCAATCTGATTCTTGTGTATTCCATCTGGTGAAGTCCATGTATATATCTTCCATTTATGTTGAAAAAAGATATTTTCAATGAATAAGTCGTTGGCCTTGCAAAAATTCTATTATGCGATATCTAGCATCATTTCTATCACCAAGGCCATAGTTTCCAAATACTGGTGAACTTCTACAACTCCAACATTTGCATTCGAATCACCAGTGATAATCAACACATCTTGATTGCATGTTAGGTCAATTTCAGACTACAGAAGTTGGTAAACCTTCAATTTTCTCATCTTTGGCTTTGGTGCTTGGTATGTAAATTTGAATTATAGAGGTATTAACTAGCCTTCCTTGTAGGCGCATGGATATTATCCTATCAGTGACAGCACTGGACTTCAGGATAGATCTTGAAACATTCTTTGTGATGATAATTGCCACACCATTCCTCTTCAGTTTGTTATTCCTAGCATAGTAGATCATATAATTTGATTCAAAATGGCCAAAACCAATCCATTTCAGTTCACTAATACATAGGATATCAATCTTTTTGCCTTCCAGTTCATTTTTGACAACTTCCAATTTTCCTAGATTCATACTTCGTGCATTCCATGACCCTCCACTTTACCAAGCATGATATCCTTCTCCAGGGAATGGTCCCTTCTGACAACATGACCAAATTAGATGAGATGAAGTCTGGCCATTCTCACGTCTAAGTAGCATTCCTGCTGCACTTCTTCTTGAACAGATTTGTTAGTTCTTCTGGCACTCCATGGTATTTACAGTATTCTTTGCCAATACTGCAATTCAAAGGCATCAGTCCTTCTTCCATCTTCCTTATTCATTGTCAGTTTTCACATGCATAAGAGGTGATTGAAAACACCATGCCTTGGGTTAGGTGCACCTTAGTCTTCAAAGTGACATCTTTGTTCTTTAACACTTTAAAGAGATCTTTGGCAGCAGATTTTCCCAGTGCAGTATGATGCCTGATTTCTTTACTGCTGCTTCCACGGACGTTGATTGTGGATTCAAGTAAAATGAAATCCCTGGCAAGTTCATTCTTTTCTCCATTTATCATGATGTTGCTTATTGGTCAAGTTGTGAAAATTTTTGTTTTCTTTCTGTTAAGATGTAATCCAGACTGTAGTCTTTAATCTTCATCAGTAAGTGCTTTAAGTCATCTTCAGTTTCAACAAGCAAGGTTGTGTCATCTGCATATCACAGGTTGTTAATGAATCTTCCTCCAATCCTGATGCCACATTCTTCTTCACATGGTCCATATATAGTTAATATAGCATATAATTACTGTAGAAGAGAAAAAGAAAGTCATCATGAAAAAAAAAGGTCGATTCTTTAAAAGAGTCATGGAAATTTCCGTAAGTTGTTGTTATTTTTCATGGAGTCCATTTTGACTCAAGACAGCCCCTGTAATGTTTGAAAGTTAGAGGTTTTGTCCTCTGCTCAATACCCATCCAGTGATGTAATATTGTCTGGTGGAAAAATTTACAGCTTTCTAAAGGCAAACATTTCACCTTAACCACTTCTTTAGATTCCACTGTTGTTGTTGTTGTTGTGTGCCATCGAGTCGGACCTGACTCATAACGACCCCTCCTTGGGTTTCCGAGGCAGTATCACTATGGAAGTAGATTGCCCCATCTTCCTTCCGAGGAGTGGCTAATGTATTAAATGAAGGATTTTCTTTGGTGAGGTGAGGGGAGCAGAAGGGAGGCTTCAGACTCAGCCACTCCACTTGTCTTCCTCTTTTGCTTTTCCTGTCATGTGTTAATCTTGAGCCCCCACATACATCCCTCATTGAGGTAGCTTTCAGAGAACAGCCCTAGACACTAATGTAGCCCAGCCAAAAGAATCTAGCCTCCCCTGCCACCATTGCCCATACCCTAAGATTCCAGCCAAAGCCCTTCCTTCACCCCTATGCCTTGTTTCTGGCATTCAAGAAGGTTGAAATTTCTGAACTCTTTGGATTGTCCCTTTTCCCTTGAGTTACCAAAATCATTTTGTCATTTCAGGTCAGCTTTCTGGGGAAAAATACGGAAATCAAAGAAATGATGACTACATGGACTCTTCAGAAAGGTATCCCCCTCGTGGTGGTTAAACAAGAAGGGCGTTCACTAAGACTACACCAGGAGCGCTTCCTGAAAGGCGTTTTTAGAGAGGACCCTGAATGGAGGGCTCTGCAGGAAAGGTGGCTGCTGTTCTTTTTGTCCAGTTTACCTCACCTTGATTTGCTCATTATTATTGCATTAGCTTCCTTTCAGCTGTTCTGGCAACTCTGTGGAATGCTACCCCTACATAGCAATCAAAGGCCTAAACTAATCTTGATAACTGATTTAAAGAGCTTCAGATGGCCCACGATGCATTGTTTAGCAGCCCTGTTCCTAATAATTCCATGGTCTGATGCAGGGAGTGGTTGGTTATATTTATATTATGTACTTTTCAACGGATTCTTCAATACTAGATTTCTGGGCACTGATAAATTGCGTGACTGGCCCATACATAAGAAGCATTATGACAAGCATCTTATTGTCAAAGATATTCCCTATGTGATAAATTAGTTGTTAAGACTTCCTCTTGCCTTTTGTTTTTCAGTAATAGACTATAAAATGTAATATCTTAAAACATATAATGTTCTTGGTAGTAATGAAAGCAAATCCAATTAACTACACAGTCATCTTGTTCACCAGGCTATCATAAGAAATCTTATTAAAGGCTCAACTGAAATAAAAATTGAAAAAAAAAAAAAATTATCTATTTCTCTGCTTGAGTAGCCCTATCAATGAGATGAATGAGGGTTATTTAAAAATGAAATTATCCAAGTGAATCTATGCTGGTTCTTATGATTATTGCTTTTTTTTCCTGAAGATCTAGGTATTTAATAATCAATTATATAGTATTTCTGAGAATCAAAGGCCAATTCAAATATATTATTTTGCTTTTTTGGTTTTGTTTGTTGCCTATTTCCAACCCAATGACAATTCTTATGCCACTTCTATATGTATACATGTTTCTAAAGTCTGAATCCCAAAGAGCTTAGACAATTTGTAGCTTGGCAACAGAGCCTGGATAATTTAATGCTTGATTCATTATTGGGAAAACAGGACTCACAATTTTGGAAGCTATTACAAGTAATGAGAGAGTTCAAAACTGCGGATGGCCTTGAATAATAAATACTACAGTGATCTGTATTTTTCCTCTATCTGGGCAGTGTGTGGACAAGTCATAAAATTATTGCCATCTGATTGATGGCTGTCTCATGATATGCTACTCCTTCTCTACCTACAGATGTGTTTATATGGAAAAATCCCTTTCCTTCCAGAGCCAAGATTCACCCACAAATCCCAGTCCACTAACACTTGGCATTACCAATATGTACATGTGTACCTTTTTGTACAAATATTTCATGTTTGCTTTTTTAATTACCTGTCCTTTGTGGGTTGGAATGTAGATTATTCCTTCTTTCCCTTTAGTGGATCATGGCAATATATGATTCTCCTTTATTATTTTATAAGGTGCTTTGGTGGTATAGTAGTTAAGGCATTTGGCTGCTAACCAGAAGTTCAGTGGCTCAAACTCACCAGCTGCTCAGCAGAAAAAAGATTAGGCAGTCTGCTTCCACGAAGATTTGCAGCCTTGGAAACCCAATGGGGGTTGCTATGAGTCCAAATTGACACTACGGTAGTGAGTGAGTTATTGTTTGATACTTTTCTAATGACTAATGGATACTTTCTCAGTTACTCTTTCTATTTCATACCTATTGATATTACTACTTCCGTAGTGATAGTGCCTCGGAAACCCAAGGAGGGGTCACTATGAGTCGGGTCCGACTCGATGGTACCTAACAACAACAACATAGTTCATATAGATAAACCAAAAAACAAACCCACTGCCATTGAGTTGATTCTGACTTATAGTGACCCCCATTGGGTTTCCAAGGCTATAAATCTTATGCAAGTAGATTGCCTCATTTTCCTCCCACAGAGCAGAGGGTGGGTTTGAACTGCCGACTTTCTGGTTAGCAGCCAAATGCCTTATCCACATGCCACCGAGCTCCTTGTTAATATGGATAGAGGAAATGAATTCCAGAGACTGTTAGAATATTAGGGGAAAAATATAGTCAATTTCTGTTATTTATAATAGTAAAACCACTGAGAAGTAAATTGAAGATTTTTCTTCCCATCCCTTCTACTTTTCTGCTCTCTGGACTTACCTGCCCTGCTGATCACTTGCTTTCAGTCATTTAGCATTTGGTGGGTTATATGTATGTTGCCTCATTCAACAAAAGGATAAGTGAAAATTCATACTGGAGTAAGTTCTTTACCTCCTAAGACTTTTCCTACAGCTTTGGTTTAGTTATAATGCCAGCTATCATTTGGAGTTTCTGAATATATGACAGAGAGACTGAATTTCTTTTCTCTTACTTAGAAGAAAACAAATTAAAGAATTTGTTATAGTGTGAGATTTGGACCACAAAAGGCAAAGATATCTGTGACAGAGTTCAAGTAGTATATATTGCTGTACCTTCATAATAATCTTGGAAGAGATTCCTACTGTGATTTTAGTCCAAGGATATGCTATCCTTAAACATTTTAAGGCCACTAATAGTGTGAGGAGTGTTTGATTAGGCGCTTTTTAGAATCTACTGAGTCTGACAATGTGAAAATTGAAATGGCCATTCATTTTGTCTATAACGATCTTTACTTTCTAACATAGGTATCTTTGGCACATCCCATTGACCTATTCCATGAATTCTTCTAATGCAATTCACAGACACATTTTAAAATCAAAGACAGGTAATGAATTAATTAGCTAAACAGTTGTTTTAATACTGAAGTTAAACATGTTTTGAGTTATTTTAAAGAAAAATACTGAAAGTAAATCTAATAAAAGATTTATGTTGGGAAGTGCTTATTTACCCATATATTACTTACCAAAGAATTCTTCAGTTAGGGCATCTGAATTATTTTTCACTCACTGGGATGTTCTGTAAGAAGCCCTAGTGACACAGTGGTTAAGCACTCAGCTCTTAACCAAGGTCAGTGGTCCAAACCATCCAAACCACCAGCCACTCCACCGGAGAAAGATGTGGCAGTCTGCATCCCTGACAAGTATAGCCTTAGATACCCTATGGGGAAGTTCTACTCTATCCTATAGGGTAACTATGAGTCAGAATCAACTTGACAGCAATGGGTTTGGCTTTTTTTGGTTTAGGACATACTTTCATGCTTTTACAATTTAAAGATATGTTTGCATTTATATCAAGAAATGATGAGATCCCACTTCACATCCTTTACTACCTACTAATTCAGGTCTTACACCATGAGGCAAAAACATACATAATGGAAAAAACTATACAATTTGGAATCAATTGGTCTTGGGTTCAGATCCCTACTCTGTCACCTATTAGATATGTGACCTTAAAAAAATTACTTCATACCTCCTGAAGCTTCCATTTTTTCATCTTGTTTTGAAAGTGGACAAGTCCTTACAGAGTTGTTGAGAGAATATTATAATGTAATTATAACCCCTAATATAATGCCTGGGAGCTCTGGTAGCATAGTGGCTAAGACACTTGCCTGCTAACCAGATGGCTGGCGGTTCAAACCCACCAGCCACTCCTCGGAAGGAAGGTTGGGCAATCCTACTTCTGTAGTGATACTGCCTCGGAAACCCAAGGAGGGGTCGCTATGAGTCGGGGCCGACTCGACGGCACATAACAACAACAACAACAATATAATGCCTGTCATGTACAAAAAAACACATAATATAATGTTAATTTCTCCTCTAAGCACTTCACTAAAATTTGGGAGGGTATTCGTAATAAAGGCATGTTTAACCTGTGATCCTTATTTCACCCAAAGTAAGGACCAGACAACTAGGTCACCCATTTACACACACATATTTTAATGACCAGTAACTAAACCTTGAGACAGGACCACCAATAATTTAAGCCAAATTTCAGTCTTGCTCAGGTCAGCTAATTTACTGAGTCTTTGCATGCCTCTCAGAGCTACATAGACTGTTTTTTTGAGAACAAATTCAATACTTTTCCTATGAATTAATTTGTTTTTCAGGTTAGGATCATCTTCCCCAAAACAGATTACCCAGTGAAGTATGAAAATTTTAATTGTGATGCTTCCAAAACTTTGTGTTTTCATTGCCTTATTAGTAATATCATGGAAATTAATATTTTTGGAGATGTTCCTGGTGTGTATGTTGATAATGAAATGTATATGCCATTTTTCTCCTCTTAGACACTCTGGAATTACCTGAAAAGACCAATTGGTTGAAATTCAATGTGGATTCAAATGGCTACTACATCGTGCACTATGAGGGGCATGGATGGGACCATCTTATTTCACAGTTGAATCAGAACCACACATTTCTCAGACCTAAGGACAGAATAGGTCTAATTCATGATGTATTTCAGCTGGTTAGGTAATACAGCATTCCATCTAATTTCACAGGAAGTAACTGATCCATTACTGGGTGAACTAGAATTCAGAAACAAATGTTCAGTATTGATCATACATAACACATGGATTTTAATAGATGTTGAATACTGGTCACCATAGGTCAAAGCCTACCCTCTGATTTATTTTGACTCACACAGGGTCTATAAATTTGACCAAGCATTTTAAAATGTGGGGAGTTTATGTAAAAAATCTGACTTCTGGGATCTCTTTAAAAATGCGAAGATTGGACAGCATTCCCGCAGGACAGCCATAGGGAGAGTAGAGTGACAGACCCTCCTTTAGTCCAGGCCTCCCATGGGTCACGTCCCAAACTACACACAATGGCCTATTTTACTCACTTAGAGTAGACCCCAAGGCATGTGAGCTTTTGAACCCTGGTTCAAAATTTATTTATGCCGCTAACTGGCTGTAACACTAAATACCTGTGTGATCTGATGGACAAGGAGTGGATTCTTTAAGATTCTAAGTGAGTTGTCAACTTAGTGAACAGTCCATTTGTTACTTTACTTACATTGGAGGAATTAGTAAGAAATTGGTAGGGAAATGAAGAAAAAATTGGTTGTTTATGTTTATTCCTCTCTTCATATTCTTTCTTGGAAAAACAAAGTGCTTTCTTGTCCACTAATCATCAAGAGAATAATATGTAGAATAAATCAGATCACAAGATCACCAATGGAAAAAAAAAAAAAAAAAGATGGGGGCCAGGCATGTGCTTTGTAAACTTTTCCTATTCCAAGGGTTACTAGTATGTATTCACTTTACTCAGCGTAACTGAGTAAAGTAATAACTCATATTATTTCCTTTCAGATGCTTGTTCATGTTAAATTAAGTGAAAGTAAACAACTGGACATCTCTCAGGCAAAACTTCTTCATGCAGAAGAATTCCCTAGTTGAAAAAGAAAAGAGCTTAAACTTCATCCCCATAGATCTCAGGAACACCATGGTGGCATAGCAGATTGGAGATCAGAATAAAGAAAACAGTGTCCTACATATGTGTGGATGCACGATGGCCTAGCTAAGAAGCAGGCTATTATTAACTGAAGGAGGTTTGTCTGCTCAAAGGGGAAGCTCAGAGCAGATCCCGAGAAGATAAATTAAAAATGTAAGAGTAGGGCGAATGAAGAATATTGACAACTCAGTAAATGAAAGCTAACCTTTTATATAGTTTGGAAGTCTTATTTTGCTCTTTCTAGCCTACAAAGTTACAGGTAATCTAAATTTATTAGGAGGAGCCCTATAATTATTGATGCATTAGTGGAAAAACAATCTTTTTTTCATTAGATGGACAGGTTAATAGAATCTAACCATACAGGTGTTGGATTAAAACAGACTTGAATTCAAGTATTACCTCTCCATGTATTAATTGTTTAAGCTTGGGCAAGTTACTTAACTTTTGTTGTTGTTTTTGTTATCTGCCGTCGAGTTGGCCCCAACTCATAGTGACCCCTCCTTGGGTTTCTGAGGCAGTATCACTACGGAAGTAGATTGCCCAACCTTCCTTCTGAATTTTTTAGTCTTTAAAACTTTTCTAATCTTTAAACTCCAGTAATAATGTCTAACATACAGGGTTGTTTTGAGGATTCCATAGGTAATGCAGCTAAAGCATCGTGCACAGTACCTGCTCAATCAATTAGCTGTTAGCCTTAATGTTGTTGTTGTTATATGTCGTGGAGTCAGACCCAGCTCATAGTGACCCCTCCTTGGGTTTCCAAGGCATTATCCCTACGGAAGTAGATTGCCCAACCTTCCTTCTGAGGAGTGGCTGGTGGGTTTGAACTGCCAGCCTTCTAGTTAGCAGTCAAGTGCCTTAGGCAGTATTATATAATAGACTTTATTTAAAATATCATATGTTGGTTAGAAAGGTAACAACACAGAAAAGTGCATTTCAAACAGTGTGAAGTTGGAAAAAAGAAAAATATAAGTTTGTATATTGTTATGTTTGCAACTACATAAGAAAACTTAAGTGAAAAAAAAAAGAAGAAAAGGAGACTAGAAGGAAATACTCCAAAATGCTATTTAGTGAGTTTATGTTGTTAGATGCCATCAAGTTGATTTTTACTCATAGTGACCCCATATAACAGAGTAGAACAGTTTTCTGTGCTGTAATCTTTACCTGAGCAGATCCCCTTGTCTCTCAGGGAGCTGCTGGGTGGGTTCAACCACCGTTAGCAGCCAGTATCTAATCACTGTGCCACCAGGGCTCCTTTTTAACGAGTCTATTTAAAAAAAAAAAAAATGCTGTTCACTTGATTCTGATAGAGACTCTTTAGCACAGAGTAGAACTGTCCCCATGGGGTTTCCAAGGCATTAATCTTTAAAGAAGCCTCATTGGTATCTTGCAGAGGGCTGGTGGGTACCAAGTGTTAGCAGCTGAGAGCTTAACCATCGGACTACCAGGGCTCCTTCACTGAATGTGTGTTTTGTTACGTGCCATCGAGTCGGACCTGACTCATAGCGACCCCTCCTTGGGTTTCCAAGGCAATATCACTATGGAAGTAGATTGCCCAACCTTCCTTCCAAGGAGTGGCTGGTGGGTTTGAACTGCCAGCCTTCTGGTTAGCAGTCACGTGCCTTAGGCACTATGCTACCAGAGTTCTCACACACTGAATGTGTTGCTATTGTTATGTGCCGATGAGTTGGACCCAACTCATAGCGACCCCTCCTTCAGTTTCTGAGGCAGTATCACTATGGATGGTAGATTTCCCAACTTTCCTTCCAAGGAGTGGCTGGTGGGTTTGAACTGCCAGCCTTCTGGTTAGCAGTCAAGTGCCTTAGGCACTATGCTGAGCTCCTACATACTGAATGTGTAGGGTTCCTTTAATGAATGTATGGAGAAAATGCAGAAAAGCTTTTCCAGTGAATGTATAAACCCAACAGCCCACTGCCATGGAGTCAATTCCAACTCATTATGATCTTATAGGGCAGGGTAGAGTTGCTTTATAGAGTGTTTTGGTTACCTAGTGCCACTTTGACAGGAGTATACCACAAATCAGATGACTTGAACAAACAAGAGTTTATTCTCTTACGATTTTGGAAGCTTTAAGTACAAGTTCAAAGTGCCAGACTCTAGGGCCGAGGTGAAAGCCCCTCAACCCTGGGCTTCAGCTCTGCCTCCTGCTCCCAGCCCACTGAAGCTAGAGGCTTTTCTTCACTCAGACAGCTGCTGGCTTCTAAGGCTGACAAGCCCAAGGTTGACAAGTAAAAAGGTACAGTCCCAATTTTACCAAACAACATGGCAGGCCACTAATTCAAATCCAGAAGAAGTCCCAAGATCAATAGGGCATGGCAGGCTGTTTAACAATGACTTGGCTACATACAGGGTTTAAGCATTCCATAAACTTGAGAGCTTCCTCAAAGTTGCTTCTTAGATACTGGAAGCAGCCCGCATCCCTAAAGCAGCTACTCAGCTGCTCCAGTAGATTCTACCATGGAGTTAAATACCAGTCTCACCATGGGGAATAACTACATCCAGCTGTCCAGTCACTCAACCAGGCCCAGCCAAGTTGACATAAAACCTTAAATACCACATAGGGTTTTTATTATGTTAAATATTTTTTTAAAAATTGTGACCCTGGAATTTAACACTGTTTCCTCCTGTTATTGATACTCTAAGACAAAAATTGTACACACGGGAAGAAATAGTGATGTTTTGTGGATTTGGTTTTTCAAAACACACAGCAGATTATAGAATCATAGAGCATATGATCCAGCCCTCTGTCTTCAGATTAATATCTTGGAAATTTTTCCACAATTCTATTCTAAAGGAATAATGTCATTATGATTGAGTAAAGTCACAACAAAATTTTGTTATTTTTCATTTCACTTCTTTCTCATTTCAGATCTCTCTTTTTAGATAAAAATTTAAAAAATACAAAGGAGATAGAGCATTATGTTCATGAAAAATTCTGCAGAGATATCCTTTGTTCTGCTTAGTCTAGACCTTCACAGAAATGGCTTATAGACCCTGTGTGGACAGCTACCCTCTCAGAAACACGTGTAAGACCACACTTTAAAAGGAGCAATATGATGGTTTATTTTATATAAACCGTGTTGTAGGTCCCTACAACAGGGACCCTAATATTGGGGTACTCAGTAATAGTTCTGTTGTTTCTTCTTCTCATTACCAGAAAATATAGAGAAGACATATAACTTCAGAATCTGAACAGTTATTTTTGTCCTGCTCACAATGACTGCTGCTTCTCTGTTACGCTCCAGGAGGGACATCAAAAGAAAAGGAAAGACATGGCATCAGTCCTCAAAACTCCAAATTTACTTGGAGGAGCAATTCAAACACACAAGTGAATCAGAGGAAGATACAAAATATTAAACTTTACTATTACTTGGTACTAAATATTAATATTATCCAATATTTATTTCATTTATTAAGTTTTACTATGTGCCAGGCATTATTCTAAATGCTTTCTACATCTTAACTCATTTAATCCTCACAGTAAGCCTATGAGGAAGATACTGTTATTATTCATATGATACAAGGAAGGCTAATGAACCCAAATTCATTTTCCCAAATCACACAGCAAGTTAGTCAGTGACAAAGTTAGGATTTAAATCAAATGACCTGGTAATAATAAACTTCTGTTCCTTCTCTCTACTTCATATGTGCTTTAATATTAAGATATTCACAACTTGTTGTTTTTGTTTTATACCTCAGTGCAGGAATTTTGACCCTTGACAAAGCCCTAGAACTGACTCGTTATCTCCCACGTGAAACAAACTACCCTGCACTCCTCAAAGGTCTGGGACACTTAGAATTGTTTTACCACATGATGTACAGAAGGAATATCTCAGATGTCACTGAAAACCTCAAGGTTTGTGTTACTTTCAGAATACTCATTAAATAAACACATAATGTTTGGAGGATCAGTGAGGCTCAGTTTGTACTATGTCAACTCCTTGGCATTAAATCATGGAGAAGCTGACACTAAAGTCCTATATATATTATAGTCCTACTATAGCACAGCACCTACCGTAATAGCTTAATTACTCTCATTCTTTGTCATCGCCATCCTAAGAGGTAGGTACCAGGAGCCTAAGTAGAAGATTCCTCCTAAAGGTGACTTAATCTTACATTAATTGATATTCTCCTCACAGATAGGAAATTAAATAATATTTTTAATATAGAAGTTCTTTCTTAGTTATGATGGGTTGAAGCCAGGAAAAGAGGGGAGAGATGTGAGGATAAGTAGTTTTGTGTTTGAGAAAGTTTCATGCAGATAGTTTAGATTTGGATCCTTTAAATTGATGAATAAGAACTACATTAAGAGCTAAATTTAGCCTCTCTGTAAACGATCTCATGCTTTCTGCAGCATTACCTTCTCCGGTATTTTAAGCCAATGATTGACAAGCAAAGCTGGAGTGACCAGGGCTCGATCTGGGACAAGCTACTTCGCTCAGCTCTCTTGAAGTTGGCCTGTGACCTGAACCACCCTCCTTGCATCCAAAAGGCAGCTGAGCTCTTTTCTCAGTGGAAGGAATCCAGTGGAAAATTAAAGTAGACCTAGACTTCTTTCCTTTTCTCTGTTCCTTTTGTTCTTTGATGTAAAAGTCTTTGATCAAACAAGACATTAGATCTAAAACCTTTTACTGAGGATTGAAAAAAAAAAAAAATTGTACTGGGAATTACACACTCTCATCTCATGCTCACAGATAGTAAGTACTTAGTGGATTTTATGGAAGGTGAGATTTAGTTTGTAAACATTGGCATGGTAACAGAAAAAGAGGTGAAGCATCTTCAAAAGAGATGCTCTTCAAAGTTAAAAAGATCTTAGAGGAAGCAATGTGAAATTATATGTAATTAAATCACCAGTCATTTATGAAACTTGTTAAAAAGCTAGTTAAGGGAGTGCTTTTTTTTTTTTTTTTTTTTTTTAAATGTGTTTGTTCCCTCAACCAAAGCCACAGGCTAACTCTTGGCCCCAAGTTGTAACCTGCCTCCATCTTCAATGGAAAACTGATGATTTCACTATCTAAAGCATGTGCATGGTGGCAAAGACTGACTCTGGTGGTGATTATAATCGGGAAGATGCCCAGGGATCAAACAGATTATGTTGCAGTTCAGTTTAACAGCTGCTGCCCGTAGGAACTAACAGACTGCTCTGTCTTTTCAATTTAAGCATTACTATTTGTCCAGCACCTGATTGTATATTATTATTGTTAAAACTCTGACTTTAGATTTGAATTTTCTAGGAAATCAATCATGTGAATTAAGGAGAATTCATTTTTAAATAAGAAGGAAAAAATTCAAAATTTTAACACCATGTAATGTAATAGTGTGAATTTTTCTTGTCAAATTGAATTGCTGTATGAGACTGTAATAACTTTTCCCCCATAACTGAATATCAGTGAGATTCTTTAAATCTTTTCTTGAATACTTTATTTTTAAAAAATATTTATTTAAGTTTGCTTCATTTTTGGATTTTTCTGCTCTTTGTGATTTAAACCTAGAATCAGTTTTAGAAAAACTCTCTTTTGCCTCTATTATTCCCTACTCTTCGTTCATGTTTGAATGATTATATGGGAGCTCTGGTAGTGTAGTGCCTAAGACAGTTGACTGCTAACCAGAAGGCTGGTGGTTCAAACCCACCAGCCACTCCTCAGAAGGAAGGTTGGGCAATCTCCTTCCATAGTGATACTGCCTTGGAAACCCAAGGTGGAGTTGCTATGAGTCGGGTCCAACTCAATGGCACATAACAACAATGGGTGAAATTAGAATGCAAACATCCTGCTGCCCAATAGCACAATAGAATATTATTATTCCATCTTTATGCTGGTTATAGAAGGGATGATCTCACCAGCAGTAATCCATCTGCAGCAGATATGATGGTTCAAGATGTTGAATAGGATATTTTGCCTATGCAAGTACTCTGAGGAAAACTCATTTGTGCTCGTAATCCAGAATAGATAATTAAATATTGTTGTTCTTAAGCTGTGAGACTGCAAATATGAATCATAATGAAGAATTTCCTTACATAGGTTGATTATTTCATTCATTTGTGAATTTGAAATATTATTCTTTATATGTCTCCCATGTGCCAGGGATTGCCTTAAGTGTTAGAATGAAGTAATAAATAAAACAACTATGTGGCCTACCTTCAAGGAACATATCCAAAACACAAATCCACTGCTATGGAGACAATTCCAACTCATAGAGTAGAACTGGGTTTCCAAGGCTGTAAATCTTTATGGAAGCAGACTACCTCATCTTTCCTCTGCAGAGTGGCTAGTGGGCTTGAACCACTGACCTTTTGGTTAGCAGCCAAATGCTTTTTTGGTTAGCAGCCAAATGCACTGTGCCACCAGAGCTCTTTAAGGATCATATCAGTTTTCATAAAATCACACAATAAAATATGCTGAAATCAAAACAATATAGATTGTAATTTAATTACTTAATCTTTGTTTTATAATTCAAATAGCACTTGGGATATTTGACTGCTAACTAGAAGGCTGGCAGTTCAAACCCACCAGCCACTCCTCGGAAGGAAGGTTGGTCAATCCGTAGTGATATTGCCTCGGAAACCCAAGGAGGGGTCGCTATGAGTTGGGTCCGACTTGATGGCAAATAAAAACAACAACAACAATGGTGGAAATAGCATAGGCATTAGAATCATAGGATTAAATCCTATTTAGTTACCTAGTGCCACTCTGACAAGAATATACCACAAATGGGATGGCTTGAGCAAACTGGAGTTTATTCTCTTACAGTTTGGAGGTTTTAAGTCTGAATTCAAAATGCCAGGCTCTAGGGGCTGGGTGAAAGCTCCTCAACCTTGGGGTCCAGCTCTGCGTACTGCTCCTGGGCAATTGGAACTAGAGGCATTTCTTCACTCAGACAGCTGCAGGCTGCTGAGGCTGACAAGCCCAAGGTTGAAAAGTAAAAAGGCACAGTCCCAATGTTACCAAACCACATGGCAGGCCATTAATTCAAGTCCATTGAAAGTCCCAAGGACGGCAGACCATGGCTGGCTGTTGAACAATGACAAACTACATGTGCGGTTCAAGCATGCCATAAGCTAAAAACCATTCCCAAAGCTGCTTCTTATATATGGGAAGCTGACCACAAACCCAAGGCAGCTACTCAGCTGCTCCAATACATTTCACCATGGAGTAAATTACCAATCTTACCATGGGGAATAACTACATCCAGCTGTCCACTCACTCAACCAGGCCCAGCCAAGTTGCCACACAAACTTAACTACCACAAATCCTATCTTCAAAAGGGCTAATTATGTCACTGTGCACAAGTTACTTAACATTTCCAAACTTTATTTCCATTTTTAAATCCATTTATGTAGTTTTTACAGCTAAATAAGATATGCAGAGACTAGTACAATCTCTACCATATGGTCACTACATTACAAACGCAAATTTCCTGGGCCACTCTTGTGTTGTTTTTTCTCTAGGCCATCAATATGAGTATTGATCTATAGATATTTGGGATTGAAATCTTGTGGCACCAATCACAACCAATAAAACCTGCTGCTGTCCAGTCAATACCAGCTCATGGTGACCCCACATGTTACAGAATAGAATCTCTCCATAGGGTTTTCTTGGCTGTCATCTTTATGGAAGCAGATCACCAGGTCTCTCTTTTGGGACATCTCTAGTTTAGTAGTCAAGTGGGCATTGAATCAACTTGAAGGCAATTCATAACAATAAAGCATCAAAACAGGTTATAATTTACTGATAGGATTCTATATAAACCAGTACTTTTATATTTCAGGAATCATCTTTTATTTGTTGATTCCATCATTTTTCTGTTTTCCTCTCAAAGTAGGTTACAATTTTATGATTATTTGGCTGGCTGACAATTTATCATCAGTAGGAGACAAAAGGCAAAATTGTAACATTAAAATTAAATACTTTTATAAAAGTTTGACCGAAAAAGAGGGTTAGTATGCTGGGTGTTAGAAACAATTCTGTTATGGTGATTTCAAATTGAAATAAGCAAAAAATGTTTTTTGTCTCACAGAACTTTTTTCTTAACTTTCATGCTTGATATTACAGTATCCCAACAGACGTTTTAAAGATTGTGTATTCTGTGGGTGCTCAGACAACAGGAGGATGGAATTATCTTTTAGAGCAATATGGACAGTCAGTGTCAGGTGCTGAAAAAAACAAAATTCTGTATGCATTGTCAACCAGCAAGCATCAGGAAAAGTTAGCAAAGTAAGTGCATTAATGTAACTAAATTGTTAAAAGTACACCTTGTTAACTATATTGTTCAAAGTATACTTCAGCCACCAATTTTAAAGGCATAATGTAATTGGATCTAGATTTGTATTGCTTTGACTTTACTTCCAGAAAAAATGTCCTGACAAAATGGAAATTGTGAAAACAGATATTCCCTCATTGCTAATCATGTGATTGACATTAGACAAATGGTAATATTTTACCTTCAGAATCTTGGAAGAAAATTGTTTTTAAAAATATGTTCTTGTACATAAGGTGTGATATAAACTGCTAAAGTTCTTTGAAATATTAAGTAAATAAAGCTAATTACTGCTAGAAATGCCTTAGCCACTACATGGCCAGGGGTCCCAAAAGTTTAATTAGAACATTAAAATGTCAGCCAGTAGAGAATTTATTACTGGTTTTGGTGACATACTTTTACCATGCCTCTTTTTGTCCTAGTCTTCTAATATATTAGTAGCCTGAGTTAATTTCTGTGTACATAACACATACCATGGAAAAAACAAGTGGTTTTTATTTCCTCAGGTTGATCAAACTAGGAATGGAAGGAAAGGTTATCAAGACCCAGGACTTTGCAGCTCTTCTTCATGCAATTGCAAGAAATCCAATGGGGCAGCATTTGGCCTGGAATTTTGTAAGAGAAAATTGGACCTATCTCCTCAAAAAGTTAGTATTTGTTTACATCAGTTATTGTTTCTCAGAGCAAGCTTGCAAGGGAAAGAGAAAGGTGTCTAAAACATTTTTTTCCTGGTAATAAAATAATATTTTAGAAAATGAAGAAAACTAAAAATCAACTGGGAGAGTTCTGGTAGCATAATGCCTCAGGCACTTGACTGCTAACCAGAAGGCTGGCGGTTCAAACCCACCAGCCCCTCCTCAGAAGGAAGGTTGGCAATCTACTTCTATAGTGATACTGCCTCAGAAACCCAAGGAGGAGTCACTATGAGTCGGAGCTGACTCGACGGCACATAACAACAACAACAAAAATCAACTAACATTCCACAGCCCAAAGATTATATGTCCTCCAGAAAGATTTTTAAGCATTTATTTTCTTACACATGAAGCTATGTTAGAAATCCTGTATCCTTGACCCAGTCCTGGTCCTGACTAATTAGCCATGTGTCCTTCCACATTGCTCTCTGTTAAATGCTCTGACTCACAGCAAGACCTTTGTGCCCACACAGTGAGAAGATGTGTGTGAAATACTTTATCAAGAGCAGGGGCAGGTCGTGTGGGGTCTGAAGCTTATACAATCTAAGAACTTATACCAGTCTTTCAAGAAAAGGATACAAAAACATCTTCCTTTGGGAAACTTTGTGAAAGTAAATGACCCTGTGAACACATTGGAAGTGGCCATGCCAAGAAGCATAGCTGCTTATGTTTCATCACCCTCTTGGAAAATTTGCCTCTGGATTAAGAGTATAAATGTCACAGCCCATCTTCTATTTTTGACCTTTGCTTAGAGTTAAATATTTTAAAATATTTGCTACTAGATGTTAATTATTATCATCCAGTATTAAATATTTTTAAATCTTAAAAATTATAGATTTATATGAGCTGTAATTTTTCAAAGAGGAGGTCTGGTGACCTAATGGTTAAAGTGTTTGGCTGCTGACCAAAAGTCTCATAAGTTCTAACCCACCAGCCACTCTCAAGAAGAACATGAGTCAGTCTGCTTCTGTAAAAATTTACAACCTTGAAAAACCTAGCTCTACTCTGTCCTGCAAAGTCACTGTGGGGTGGAACCAACTCAATGGCAATGAGTTTGGTTTATCTTTTTAAATAATTTTTTGAGGAATCTCAAAAGCTTTAGGATTCAATTTTAAAATAATATTGAAAACGTTGAGGATTTTACAGTTTCACAACTCAGACTACCCTAGAAACTTTAAATATAGCTTATTCCAAGTACCTTATTTTTATTTATGTCTGCAATCTTTTAAAGGGCTCTGGTAGCATAGTGGCTAAGGCACTTGACTGCTAACCAGAAGGTTGGCGGTTCAAACCCGCCAGCCACTCCTCGGAAGGAAGATGGGGCAATTAATACTTGTTAATATTTAAAGCATTTATTACC